CATTGAAGCGTGTTCATGGTTAAGGTTATAGGAAAATCCCTGTCGCGGTAAAACATGTTTTGTGACAGTAAACGTAACTAAAATGACAAAGTTTGGTTTTAGAAGCTAACACATAAACAGTCCCTTGTGTTTCATTATACTTTAATCCCAAAGCAGCGAAGAGAGCACAAAGAACACAAGCAACACAAAATTATTAAGTGCATTTTTATTAGGTCATGTGTAAGGCCTGGGTTAGACTTCTGCAGGGAATCTATGTGGGACCTACAGTTTCGGCATGAGTGGCAAACGTCAATGCCGACATTTACGTTTGTGCTCCTCTGTTCTGTGTTAAATAGCTTGTGGTCGTGTCCTGGTGTTATATGTGCGGTTACACCCACGATGTAAACAAATAAAATGCTGGGACTTTTTCCCTTCTGGGTCGCCGCTCTTTGTTGTGGACAGATTTTGTCACTCGAGTTTTTTTTTCAGTTCTTTGTAGATTCCCCTTTGATTCCCTTACATTCCAGTAGTTTCATCTGTCTCCCACCAGGAATTTGCTGACATTTGTGAGCCTTTATATCAATGCTATAATTATTACTCCTTATATTGAGGTGTCGATCAATATTCACTCACTGATAAATTAAATAACAGCGGCGAAAAAGGTATCGCGGGTCGGGTTACGGTGTAGTTATGAAATGTTGGTGGATGTATATGTTTGAAGTATAAATCAGTCAGGCTGCTAAGTTATAGTAAAATCAGTTAATTTTGGTCATTGTTGGAATCTCTTATTCACTAACTTCAAATTTAAATACAGGGTTATATGGTAGGGATTTTGGCCCTACCATATAACCCAACTGTCTGGTGGTGCAGGTAGGAGCTAAAAGAGCCTCAGGCAGCAGCAGACTCATGGGAGACTCGTGCAAACCTGCAGGTGGACTGTGAGGCCCTGAATTTTGACTGTCATCAATATTTCTCAAGTTCCTCTGAGAGAGCGCCTTGAGGCAACTTTTGTTGTGATTTGGCGCTATATAAATAAAATTGAATTGAATTGAGAGGCAGATTTAATAGGTCTTAGTGATCGAAGGCTTGCTCTCCGTCATAACATTTTGAGCTGAACTGAAGAGCAAGTTTGAGATTTGAGTGAGGGGCAAAAGTACGCAGCTGTAAAGGAGAGATGTGTTCTTTTTTTGTGCACGAGAACTTCATAAAAGCAAGAAAAGTAATCGCTTAGTGGAAAAATGTTTTGTTATGTTTTTATCGCCTTTGGAAGTAAAAATTTAATTGAAGCTGTAGTAAATATCCACCCCAGGCTGACTGTGTTAGATGCAAGTTTTATACAGTGGTGTAATAAAATCAGTAAAGCACATTAGCAGGAAAAAAAAAATGAGAGCGCTCATCCAGCCACCCTGACAGATGTCTTATGGATGATTGAAAGATGACTAATTCTGTATTTAAGAGAAATTAACTTCTGTTTCTTTCTGCAGACTCTTCTTTGTTATTGAATATGTGAATGGTGGAGATCTCATGTTCCACATGCAGAGGCAAAGGAAACTCCCAGAAGAACATGCCAGGTACAGTCTGGCCGTTTGCTTCACGTGTGATTAAAGGGACAGATGCGTTTTTAATTTCTTTATGCAGCTGGAGCTGAATTTAAAAACACAGTAATTTCCCTCTTTGGGTTTCAGATTCTACTCAGCAGAAATCAGTCTGGCGCTCAACTACCTCCACGAGCGGGGAATCATCTACAGAGACCTGAAACTGGACAATGTGCTGCTGGATTCTGAGGGTCACATCAAGCTTACAGACTACGGCATGTGCAAGGTGTGGTTTACGGATTAATGTGGTTTGTAATGATACCGCAGTGCACTTTGGATAAAAGCACCTGTACAGCTGCAGACGTGTCGGTTTACAGCCCTCTGAGATGATCTCACAGCTGATGATCTTTCTTTCTTTTTTTTTTCTTCTTTCAGGAGGGCTTGAGACCTGGCGATACGACGAGCACTTTCTGCGGTACCCCCAATTACATCGCCCCCGAAATACTCAGAGGAGAGGATTACGGTGAGGATTACGACATGGAAGCACTTACCAGAAATGCTATCTAATTCTGCAGTTAGAAAGTGTGTGAGGCAAAACTGGGTTTATCTGCACTAACACACTCAAGCTACATTATATATAAACAATTCAACAACTGTAGACAAACGTAGGAACACATTTTCTTTGGATACATATTAGTTTTTTAAATTTAGGATATATGTAATTTATTTAAATGGTGCCCGACATACAGCAGTGATCTTAGTGCACAAAGGAAAACTGTCACCACTGTCGCCAATACCCCACAATACACAAGCCAGGTATCTTACACTGTCACCATAAACCAGGGCTACTAGTGGGTAGTGATTGGTAGAAGAGTTTTTTGCAAACCCTGGGTTATTTATTTCTTGGTTTAAAAAAAACAAACAAAACAAAAACACCTAGCTGAAATTTGTGTATGGTTCTGCATTGCAATATAAGCGTGTGCAACCGTCTTTAAATGTTTTCCAACAGTTATTGAAGCTGTTATTATTTAAATCAGCTCTATTTTCAGCAAATGTAATGATAAAGTGCATTAAAAGTTTCCTAACTACACCCTGAAAACAAGTTTTAAAAAGCTGTTTTCTCCTGGAAGTTGCTCTTTTAGCACCATCTTTGCTGTTGGGGATTTCTCAACTAATCTAATCTGGGTAATTCAGGACTCCTCTAATGTCTCTAATGGTGAGGCACACCTATTTGCAGGATGGGCTTAATGTGAGAGGGGGAAAATAGGAGTGAGAGATGTTCTGTTACTCGTGTAGTCCTCTAACTTTCTTTCTGAGGTGTCATTTTAACCCCTCAAATGTAGCAGAAATCACATTCTGCCGTGCCGTTAGCTTGTCCACATAGGGATTTTTGGTCAAAGTTATGGTTTATATAGAATCCACACCCCTTGATGAAAAGTAAAGACCCAGTTGGGTGACATTTAATGTCTAAAAACGGTAGTTTTTAAAGTTAAATAGCGTGCTTGTCTGTTTCTCTAAATCTGCTGACCTCTGCCTGTGTATGTCTTACTTGCCTAGCAGCCATTTCTGTCTTCATTCAGCAGCTATTCAGTTAATGCTACATTAATTCAGTTAATTTGCGCGGTTTAATTATAAAGTTGAGAGACAGCCCAAAAAGAAATGCAGTAAAATGTAAAAATGTGCAGATACATTTGGGGGGGGGAAGAGGCATTTGTAATATTCATTGAATCACAAAAAAGCAGATTGAGGAAAAAATTAAGTTGTAAAACAATTTTGTGAAGAAAAAGTTTAAGATTTTGAAATGCTGATTAAACTTCAGTAGTACTAACAGTTGCTAAAACAATGGGTTTGTTTGATAACATTAACTCCATTCTTTAACACTGGTTCATCTACAAAAGGCATTTTGTAGAGGCAGCCGTGCACTAACAGAAGTAGCTCGACCTGAACGGACAGCTTTATTCTCACATTTCGTCTTTATTCTTGAAATTTTTACTTTATTCTCAACGTTTAGACATAATGATGAATTAATCATAAATAAATACTGCTCCATCTAAACTCATATAAAGAGGTCCAAATTGTGTGAAGCTGGCAACTTAAAGCATCTCGTAGTTCAGATGTACTTTCAGCTTCTCGGTGAAATATCAGTTTCTACATCCTCAGTGCTGCGTGTTCGACTATCCACACACGCAATGCTGTAAAAATAGAAAAGCCTCCTTGGTCACCAAATGTGGTGTCATGGCAACAAATTTTACAGTTAAAAGAAAAAGTTTTTGATTGTTTTTCCCTCCTTTATTTAAAAAAAAAACAACACATATGAGCACAGCAGCTGTTTTTAGACACAGTAGGAACAGCACACGTGTGAATAATGAAATTAATGACGGCTGGGTTTGATTTTAGCTGCTCGCTCAGCTGTCGCGCTGCCGAGGCTGCTTACAACACCTGCGCTCTTCATACTGTGATGGCTGTAGTGGGAAAGTTGTTTTGTTTTTTGTTTTTTAAATGGGCCGAACGGCAAATTGTGTGGACATCAGAGTCACAGCAGGGGCATGTGTGATCCAGTGTAGGTCCACCATTGTTCTGAATGTGATCCCTTATCATTCAAACTGTTAACCCGATCAATGAGATGATTAAACTTCACTGACTCCACGATGATCACACCTGCTTGTCTTTGTGTACAGAAAAACAAATGTCAGGCCCTTTTTGGGGTTTTTGGTTGTTACTTATGAAAGAAATCAGCAAAAAACAAATTCACTGGGTAAATGCATCAGTTGTTTGTTTGAGTAGAGGAAGTCATGTCAGATCTGACTTTTTTTTTTTTGGGTCTTTATTTTTAGTCTTTACACAGAAAACTGCGTTCCAGGGTTTTCTTTCCTTATTTTAATAATAATTTACATACATTAAATTATTTTTAAGTTAAAAAAAAACTTAATGAAGTCAAAGACTGCATATAAAAGATGGACTTTTATGTAAGGGGCGACTCGTGTGGCTGCAGAAACAAGTCAGATTGTATATATGATCTTCACATATTTTTATCCAGAACATGAGAGGAGGGTGTAGTTTAGGGAAGGTCTACCTTGTCCCTCAGTTTTTCGGTCTTCCCCTCATTTATCATGTCTGGTTTCAAAACATCAAGATGGCGATAGCCAAAGGAATCAGGTTGAGGATGCCACGATGGCATCTAAAATGTTCTGTTTTCTCTTTCATGTCTGCCTTACTTGTTTTACAACTTTCACATCATTACGGCTTCTTTTCTGTCGTTGTTTTGACAGAAATTTAGGATTCACAGAAATTTACCCTGAGTAGATTTTAAATTTTAAGTTGTTTTTCAGCTCTGTCTGTTTTCTTAACATTAGGGAGATATGGATATTTAATGTGATTGGAGGATTTCCTCCTTGTAAAGAAGAAACTGGAAGTTGTTTTTTCTGTAGCCACTTCCATTTTCGATCCAGTTTCTGGTTGGCAGCATATCAGGATTACTTAAGCTTTGTTATATCCCATATGTTGTGCTGCTCGCCTCACATTCATATTGTGAAAATGTATGCAGTTTACATTAAAAACAGCCTTATATCTCCATGTTTGCCCTTCTCATTTCATGCTTATGTAATCAAGTCTTGTCCTGTTTTAAATCACATAGTAACACTACAGTCTTCTGAAATCTGTGATGTGGAGCAAAACCAGATGTTTGAAAGTGCTGTTACAAGTGAAGTGACAGCTAAGATTTGGTGAAATGATGCAGCTGTTCAGTTCCAATGCACATGTGCCAAATTCAAGGCCCGCGGGCCACATGTCTCTTAATTTTTAAATACATTTGGCCCGCTCCGTTTTCTCAGCTGAGGATGAGGTTGAGCATCTTATTAGCACTATTAGCGTTATTTTCTTGACTAAGTATTATAAAGACTACAGTACTTGTTTCTAGACTAGCTTAGAGCTTTATGTGGACCAAACTGTAGGTGAGAAGGTGGTGTGAGACATACAAATGAATTTACTGGAAATGCATCTGTCCTTCATTTTCTTTCAGAGTTAAACTGATCGTGACATTCCTGCCCTAATGGCCTAAAAAAAAGAGAGAGAGAGAGAGAGAGAAGTAGGCAATCTGAATAATGTTCTTGTTGTCGAAGGTGTGATAATAAACAGAAACCCCCACTTTTAAAGTGAAGGTGGTTGCTATAGTAACCCTGACATGCTGGTGTACTTTGAAGTTTTCTAAGTGGCAATTAAAAGTTCCTCTTCTCTAATTGCAATAAAGATAATTGTGCTGCTCTTTTTTTCTTCCCACCCCCCACCCCACGCAGTCGTCGGTCATTTGTGGTGTTTTGGCGTTTCAAAGCGTCAGAGCTGTAACGTACGATGTGTGTGTGTTTGTGTGTGTGTCCCAGGGTTCAGCGTGGACTGGTGGGCACTAGGCGTGCTCATGTTCGAGATGATGGCGGGCCGGTCGCCCTTCGACATCGTCGGCAGCTCCGACAACCCTGACCAGAACACAGAAGACTACCTCTTCCAAGGTAACAGCGTGCTTCTGCGGTTCGTAAAAAAACTGCTGAGTTCATGCAACACCTTCATGTCGACACCTTTCTATTGGCTTCTCTCAATACCAGGAACATGCCATCTGTTACAGAGAGAAGTGTGAAACCATGTGTCCCCCACCCCCACCACCCCATTATTTTAGTATAAATAGGGTTTTATATTGTGTTTGTTTCTTATAATTAACAGTGAGGTGGGTTAACAAAAAGCTTCATATCTTGGGCTGCTGCGAGCATACCCAGCAGGATTGAACTCATAACAGCAGCAGTGTTGGCACCATCTCATCCTCTCCTCTTCTTGTCCACCCCTTGACCCCTTTTCTGTCACCTCCTGCAGTAATATTGGAAAAACAGATCAGAATCCCACGCTCGTTGTCAGTCAAAGCTGCCAGCGTCCTCAAAGGGTTCCTCAACAAGGTAAGAGAGGGTCTGACAGGCCTGTAGCAGTGCCACCTCTTACTGGCATTTTTTTTTTTTTTTTGGGAAATGTATCCACTTTCCTTGCCAATTCTCTCTTCTCACTTTCTCCACCTTTCTTCTCGGGTATTGGACTTGTTATCTTTCCTTTCCACCATAGTCTCCCACCGTCTCTCACCCTCTTCTCGCTCTCACTCCCACAGGATCCCAAGGAGCGCCTGGGCTGCCACCCTCAGACGGGCTTTGCCGACATCATGGGCCACCCGTTTTTCCGAAACGTCGACTGGGAGCTCGTAAGTGATTCAATTTCATCCTCTGCTTTTCTCAGTCAGTTCTTTCAAATGAAGGAAATCAGCATTGGTGCATGTTGGATAGGTCAAAATAAATCCATACAATCGATTGCGGGGGGAAAGGGGGAGAAAAACAAGAGCTGCCGCGAGACCGCAGAAGGTCAAATCTGAGTGTGCAGGGTCGCCGTCTCCTGCGCTCTTTCTCCTGCCCTGCAGGTGTAGACGCTCTGTCAATACTGAGGTTATTAGCTGTGGGGTGAGACTTGTTTCTTTGTGAAGAGCAGGCAGCTGGAAACAGACAGGCCAGGCAGAAGACTGACAGCAGCAGATACGATTACTCACTCTCTCTCACACACACACACACACACACACACACACACACACACACACACACACACACACACAGGAAGTTTAAAGACGGAGAGGAAACGAGAGGGGACGGATCACACGGGGCCGATATGTCGATCTCTGCATGTCCGGATTGTCGAGCAGTGATTCATGTTGACGAAGAAGCCATTAACACTCTAATTTCAGCGCCGCTGTTTACAAATCGTTTCATTCACAAATTTCGGCATGATTACTGGAACCTCAGAGAAGCTCGTAGGTTGGCTCAGATATCGCTGATGCTTTCTCTGAAGCTGCGGTTTGCACTCGTTGCCACTAATACTGAAAACCACATGCTTGACTGGATTCTTGCTATGACTGGTATTTGTGTCTGTGTATAATCCTTATTTATAGTTTATGCCTGAAAACCAGTATGAGTGTGAATACAAATGTAGAACGCAGTGCAGGAAATGAAGATGTGGACCTGTATTTACAGATGTTAGTCACTTGTTTGGTATCTCGAAATGACTTGTAGAAAAAAAAATACCGGTGAAATTTAAACTAGGGCTAAAAATACTTCTTTATTTCTGTTGCTTCCTGTTATCAGTTTCAGCGATGAGTAAATTATCACCCAGGAGTCTTTTTAGGTTCCTGTTTTGACCCTTAGAACCATGAAATGAGTGTCAGATGAGACTCACGGCCTCATGTTGATATTAGCTTCAACCTTACATATGAGCGCATGAACGAATGAATAATGTATGTATTGTTAATGTATCCAACTGAAGGACTGATGAGCTGATGGGGCCCGAACTGTGCTCATGGATGAGCTACAGCAGGGGTCGGCAACCTTTCTGATGATGAGTGCCATCTAAAATTTCCTCAGAAGTCAATGTGCCAATGTTATGCAATCATAACGCCCTATATTAACAGTTACACATTATATTGAACCACTTTATAGAATTATATTTGTTTGCAGATGTTTGCAGCTATCAGCAAATAGTTATCAGCTATTTTGAAACAAAAAAAGACACTTTTTATCCATAACAGCAAATGAACTGTACAACAGAAAATCCAAATGCTATTTATGGTCTTCCCACAACAATAATAAGAAAAATAAACTGGGCCAATATGGCATGTTTGTTAATACAGAGATACACATGTTAATGTGATCTCTGGTCTCCCACTCAGAGACACACGTCTCCGAGTGTCCAGCATTCAGACGGCTACCTGAGGACACTCTCCGTGTGAGAGAAAATCTGCTCACACATATATGTATAGCCAAATACTGTAAATAATATCCCTGCAATGTTCTGAAGACAGTTAACCTTGTCAGGTAATGATGTCCAGCAGGTGAAAATGCAAGCTCCATGAACACGCACAGCTGTGGATTCCAGCTGCGTTCGTAGTTCTGCAAACTTTGACCCCCACAGAGTCGAGCTTTTCAGTTCAATCAGCTGCATTTCAATGTCGCATTAACTGGCATTAACTCGGCCAGTTAATGCGAGACAAATCCAGCTGCTCATTAAAGCTTTCTGGTTTGATCAGTCTTGAGTCTACGGATGTATCCATGTATTTCCGCTGTGTGATCTCTGGTCTCCCACTCAGAGACACACGTCTCTGAGTGGGAGACCAGAGATCACATTAACATGTGTATCTCTGTATTAACAAACATGCCATATTGGCTCAGTTTATTTTTCTTATTATTGTTGTGGGGAGACCATAAATAGCATTTGCATTTTCTGTTGTACAGTTCATTTGCTGTTATGGAGTTCTTGCTGGGCTGAGCGGAGAGCTCCTGAAGCTTTTGAAGTGTCAGAATGTGGCAATTTCAACATTGCTTGAAAAAACTGCCAGCTAGCAACGTCCCTCTCACTGGTAGGCTAAGTTATTTTTAGCCAATTACAAGTTGAATCTGGTAGTTGGGGTTGTTAGCT